GTAATAATAATGATGACTGCGGCTAGCGCACCCTGGTTCATGTATCCGGAATTGAGGACGCGGTAACCAAGACTCATTCAGAGTGGGCATCATTCTCGGATCCACGGTTGGATTTTCGATCGTTGACTAAACCCTGTTTGTGTACCGTTTGTCAGAGGAAGTCTTCTAAGACTGACAGGTGAAAAAGTGTTAGAGGCCACTGTCTGATCTACGGATTGAAATTCGGATCCTAAGAAACAGGCAAGATACCAAAAAATGTTCATTTTTCAGAGTGAATAATGAGATTGATGTGGGAAACTAAGTATAAAGGTAAGATAAGAGGCTCGGAAAATGGAGAAGGGGAAAAGATGGGGCAAACGAAAAGGCCGAAAAACTTATCATCCCTTGTAACAATAGAAGACGATTGGCTACAACACACGATGATGACGATTACAAGACTGTGTGGATTACCAAAGATACATGCGGAAGAGCCCCTACAGAGACACACAGAATGTGCGGTTCGCTGAATCAAGCAGAAACAACGTGGTTTGCCAAATTGGTATAATTGTTTAGGGAAGTTCTATCACGACAGTATCCGAGACAGCCTCAGCATCTCAGACTTAGCAATATAATCAAGACGATGGGTAAGAAAGATATGTTGGTCAGATGTAGTATAATAGTTCATCAATACCACGTTAGAAGAAATAAAATATACATAGAGGATGTCAACCAATTAATGAACAGATAGCAGCTTTGCGAAGAGTCGACTAAAAATATTATCCATGCTATATGCCAAGACCAAAAGAACTCTGATTTCCTGCCACAGATGGCTCAGTGCCCTATTCCCACCTACTATCTTTCGAACTAATAACACATGATTTTCGCGCTTTAGACCATTACACACTTTTAAACGAGTCTGGTGTTATTCAGCCGCTTCATTTGCATACACTTTATGTCCCCCAAAGTCCCATTCTTGTCAGTCTAGTAATAGCATTGCTATAACGGTTATCTGTTCTCGCCGCTATCCACACATTGTAAACCTAGTTGTGATTTCTCTCTTGTACATTATTCTACTCTCCAGAACCCCGGTTACAGGATTACTCAACAAATGCTTCTGTCACGACCGTTTTCGGCCCAGACCGTGCATATAGTCTAGGTTTGTAAGACGGAGTAAAATTATTTCTATGCATTACGTCGCTACATAAGTTGATTAGTTGTAAGCATATCTGCAAAATGTATTCATGCTGTTTGTTACAGCAGGGTCTGGTCGATGAAATATGAGGACAGTGGAGAGAATAACCTGTACAGGATAAATTGCGGTTCTACGAGCATTTCTAACCAAAGATGCAGAGTTGACTTACGAATAGGTGAATAGGCTCGTAAACGGATGTAAAATAAATTTAGTTAGAAACCATAAATTCAGTCAAGTTCGAACAGCAGCAGTAGTGGAGACTCCGTAAACGCAGCGCAGTAAAACAAGGGACTAGAAATACTTGCTCCCAGCATATGGTTAACAAAACAGAAAACAAAACAGAAAAGCAAACGAATAAACGGATAAATAAACGCGGATGTCAAGTGGTTCGTGTTGATAATGAACAAGACTAGAACCTAACATTTGTTAATGCGCAACTATCGTAGGATGAAGGAAATCGATGTCATGGTGAAAATGTCAGCAGCCATGAACTATCCATAAACCGGCAGTAAAATTTTCACCTCCGTAAATGGTAATTCACACCCCATTGTGTCTTCGGTTTCACTTCGGGCCTTTTACATTAAGGGTCCGTTTTAGCAAACATATGTTTCACAACCTTACTGATTATTCCTGTATGTTAGAATAATTAATGTTCGAACAAGTCTGTCATGTCCAATGCTTTTGGGTCACAGAGCCCACGATATGCGTACGTCTGCTACGGGGACTAGGTCATCAGTTTTCAAGCAACGCATTTCTTCACGCCACCTATGACGTGATTATAAGATAGGTAGATAGTACTTCAACCACTTGTTCTCAAATTTATTACGGTTGTTGCACTTGACGCCAATGCCCGGCCCGTCTTCTCCGTCTCAGCTGGCACCGCGATATGGTTCCACACTCGTCTGGGTGACCGGGATTAGGCATTAAAGGTCGATGACTGATGATCCGTGCTATCTCGAGAACCGTCGTCTGGTGAACTTCATCACAGACGAGCAGTGTTCCAAGTGTCACGCAAGTACCTCCCGTATATCAGAACTAAAACATTTCCACACATCCCCGTGACGACTGCTATAAAGTGGGTTAAATATCCATTCACATTTACTTTCGTCCACAAGCGAATCGATGCATTTTAACTCGCATTCGGCTCCACGAAAATCCAGACGATTATCACTATAAATCCTACAAGGAACTGCTCTCATAGATAGGTACATACGTAGCCGAAACGATTTTCCATTCTTCGATTTTGCCTTGCAAGTAAGCGTCCGAAACAGTCGACGCCCACCGCTGTAAATGCCCGTTGAAATGCGAAACAACGGTCCTCAATCAAGGGAGCCACCTGCTGTCCACAGGGATGAACATACCAGATCTTCCGACGCGAACAATCCTTCAGGATCTTCCGTACTGCTGAAACTCGACGCAATATCCAGAACCATTGGCGTAGTTAAGAGAGCAAATAGAAAGTTCCGGCATGCTCATTGCTCTCGTGCCATACTATGATGGCAAGGCATGTCACAAAATATCCTGTCGGTAGCAGAATAGAATGTTTGGCGTCGTAGAGCAATCATGACCAACTCAATACCTCAAATACCCGCAGAATATTATTGTGCGAAAATGAACGAAGTCCCTTCAACAGGAAGTCTAATGGATCCATTCCGCCGGTTGGATTTCAGTACTGCAAGCTCTTTTGCAGTGAAAAGTGGTTGTACATGCCAAAATGGGCTTCTTTCAGTTCGGGTAGCGATAAACAACCCTTGATCAGATTTGTTGGACATTCGCCGTATTCGTTGTATTTAGTAACGCTTAAATCTGAGCAACATGGCAAAACGTAGTTTCAGCAAGCGCTGACTGACACAGTGTACAAGTTCCTAACCAAGTCTTTTATGCAGCCACTCCCGCGGCAAATCACTCAGTTACTGGAAGTTCTGGCCAGTGATACTGGTGACGATGCAAGAAACCAGATCCATCGAGGCGCATCCTCCTTCGTCACTGGTCGCTGGTACGGAAGCTAGGAGAAGCGAGGTCCAATGGATGTCATGATGTACCTCGACTGCGTTGGGTGAGAACACAGATAAATCTCAGAAAGTCTATTAGATACAAAGGTTGTGAACGCTCGAGTCGCATAGCGTATGAGCTGTAGCACGACCATCGAATCTATCAAAAACACCGGTTGTTTTCTATTTGTAACTGTTGTAACACTTGAGGGGCTAGTCGAACAGTAATAACAGCAACTGTAAGCTCTAGTCGATGTACTGTGATCGCTTTTATTGGGGATACACAGGACTTCCCATGAGGAGTGGAATTTGGAATCGATTATTTGGACTCACGATCCTTATGTATGTCACTGCTCCATACTAAGCCGCTGAAGAATGTGAGAAGAAACGTAGCTGCATTTCACCACCGACAAAGGGTTCCGGTGTAATGCATCTCGAGATGTTCAGCTTTCTAACAGACGAATATCACTGAGAAATCAGAGCAACTCATCCGGCTCTGACTTGTTGAGCGGCGTGGCCCATGCCATTCCTTTCCAGACGAACGATTGCAAGAGTTGCCTAGCTTGGAGTAATACAGGAGCAACCGGACCGAGTGGGTCGTAAATCAGTGAAACGAAAGATAATATTGATCAGCGGGAACAATTTCTTTCGAAATTTGCTAAACAAAAGCATATCTAAGCATCAAATAAGTTCAACGTAGCTCCAGTGTGGGGTGCAATGCAATTTAACGGAAGTGCAAGCAGATTTGTTCATCGGTGATTCTGAATGAGGTGATGACTGAATGAGGTCATTGACTGATTCGATCACCTCAGGAGACCTCACTTCTGTAGGCCTCCCAGGCCTGTCTTCATCCTCAACACTGCTCCGTCCTTCTTTAAACAATTTTGCCCATTTGTAGACATTTTTCGGCTGAAACATGTGGCACCATACACAGTTGACATTCTCCTATGAATTTCAACTAGTTGGCACTCTTCAGCAACCAAAAACTTTATGACTGACCGCTGTTCAATCCTGGAGCATGCTTCTTGGTCGGCCATCTTTGTTAATCGCTAAATCTATCAAAGTTTTTTCAATCTGCAAAAGAAACTACATCCATGTGCAAAAGAAGTAAAACAACAAAAATAAACAAAAAGTAAGCTTCTATCTGTATTAGAAGTCCTTATACCGAAAAATTCACCTTATTTATTGAATGACCCTCGTATATCCAGATCAAAAGGTAGGTACGAGAAACCAGTCCTCTACGCCTTGTCCTATCGTCAGTTGTGAGATCTCATCATGACCTGTAAAACAGTAAATCTGGGTGACGTCCTCATGTCCGGGCTGCTGCTCAACTTGCGAAAGCCTTGTAACCCACGCCGGCACCGATGCAAGTTTGTCGTGGCAGACATAAAGTAAGTTCCCCACCCCAGGTGCTTCGAACGAAGAGTGTTAAATGTTTGAAACAGTCTGTGCAGCAGTTCAAAGCTTTGCTGCAATTACGTTTCATTACCATTCGACCTAGAGAACGACTGCACATTAGTAATGACACCTTATGTATGTCAGCCCGGTGAAACTGTAAGTCAGGCATTTTTAAGTACTACCTAAGAAGTTGAAGGATGATTCGACTATCACAGTAACCGGATACTAATTTAAAATGCTTGATTACATTCCGATAGGGTTGTGTAGATTTAGATGTATACTTGCTCCCACAATTCGTATGAGTTCAAGTTTAACAAGGGAGTTCGGGAGAGGAATTAATGAGGGGAGTTATGCAACTGTTGTTTAATTTCGATAAGTTAAATTGCTGAAAGACAAAGCAAGCAGTAAAGTTTTATGAAAACAATAAGAAGCTGACTCACTGACGGTGGCTATGGGCGTCAATCGTTCAGGTTCACTGTACTGCTCCAAAGGGAAGGAGGTCAGCAATAAAGAATCAGGTCTTTGTGGTTTAACATCAACAAGCGTTTCATCTGGGCGGACGCAACACAGTTCTTCGCTTTGCAAACTGACGGTACAGGCCAGGCAAGATACTTGGGAATTGGAAAAGTTAAAGTATCCGTGGATGACATCTCCAGGAGAAAATAATGTCCGCAGTAGGCAGAAGCGGGTAACGTGTCCATGCGCACAGGATATGACGAAATTCGCTAGAAGAAAAGGGTGCAAATGCAAGTTGGCATCAAGATGCGAAAAATGAATTAGCAGCGTTCAGTAGTTAACACAAGGATGAAATGCAAGGTTCACGGAACATCTGTATTGTTGAGACATTTTAGTGATGAGCATTCTTTGTGATCCATGAGGAACGAACAAGCAATCGTCCACTTGAAAGAAAGCGAATGACGTCACGGACACAAACTGAAGAGCTCAAAGTTGCCAAAATAGCATGAGACCAAAATCAGGTAAATCTGTGAGGAGCTATGCCGTACCCTTCTGAGAATCATCAGACCTTAATGGCCTACTGAGCGCGAATAGTCCGTAGGGATATCTCTTCAGGGTTCTCCAAGTAGAGAGCTACCAAACCAGCGGTCTCATGGCGACACCGGCCACCTCACTGCGATGTAAACACGGCATATATATATATATATATATATATATATATATATATATATATAGCACTGTCAAAAAAAACAGACGACAAAATGCACACTTTCCGTGCTCCTGCTGATTACAAACCAATGGCGGAAGGTGTCCGTACTGTTTGTGCCAGTTACTGATTACTAACAGACCTCGTGCACATAAACGTAATCGTGAGAACCATGTCCCGGTCTTAGCGTGCAAGCTTGATTTCAGCCTCGAAGAGTGCATTATGCATAACTTGAGCCAGATTAATTGAAGCGTCAGTGTCCAGCTGGATGTATAACAAAGAGGACTTTGCACCATTAGTGTATGCCTTCTTTGTCGAAGACTGCATACGCTACGACATAAAAAGCAAAGAAACCGCATGTGTCAAGGTGCAACAAAGACCACTGACACAGTCGTTTTAATTAAATAAGGGAATATTTCTAGACTGCTGCTAGAAGCCGTTCTCGCAAGGGGTCAGATCATTTTGTACAAAATTTTCATGCGCTTGAACGAATAAATGCGAGAGCGTGTTTCAACACAGACTTTGACAATTTTCACGTTTTAGCATTGTCGGGCATTCCGTTGATATTCGTGGATACTTCATCAATCGATTTCCGTGCGGTTGCGTGTTATTCCTTGGTATCCATAATACAGAAGCGTTAGTACATATACTTCATTATAGGACAGTCCAAAGCCCTCGAGCCAACTTTTTGATGTTAGTGGTTCCACTTTCAACTTGCATTCCGAGGTCCTGATTCATGGCACGCATGGACTACTATACACGGTAGAGAACCGTATAAATAAATAGTTTATTCTCAAATTTATAGAGACACACCAAATCAGGCATAATCAAGGTTTTCTCACAGCATTTTCTTTTCACATGTTGTGTTGGGACAATGCGAGCCCTGGCCGATCCGCAAGGGACAGTACTAACAAACAGGAAAATCAGGAAGAACAACTGGTTCTTACACAAGTATCTTAAACAACATAGCAAGAAAACTGGAGTTCGCTAGTACAGACCGCGTAACACCGGGTGAGCTTCATGTAAAAGTGTACGGACTAACAGAAACAGCCCTTGAATCGTGATACTAGCCAGTCAGGTATGCTCTGGAAACTCGGTTTTCCCAATACCTCACCCTTTGAGTTCACTGGCAACTCCAAGCTGCCGGGTCCAACTGCATCCGATCCGATGATCGACGAATGCGATTGGATTGCCTGAGCGATAGCAATCCACAAGCTACCGATTTGCGGTGTTATAACATTCGATGAATTTCGAACGCGTCTAGCTGCGTTAATAGGGAAAAGTTGGCTGCTACTGGTTAAAGCTGCTTTTGATGCCAGACTCAAATACGGTCACCCAGTTGAAGGTTAAACATCACCCACCAATTTATCCTTCTGAGAATACCGTCTATGCATTTAGAGTATCCAAAGCGATGAAATCTAGATACAGGTAGGTTCCGCTAGGGGAAAAGGTTATCACAAAGGAACAGTAATGCGAGTTGAATGGTATAAGTAGAGATCACTCACATCTAGGTGCATTTAAATAGCCATCACTGGCAAGGTGATGAGGTTACCTTGTCCTCTGCACACTAGTAATGCGTAAGTCGGTGTATGGTGCATGAGTAGTATGTGTGGAAACGAGGAGGCACAAGGAAAGCAGAAAAACCGTGGATCGTTACGGACGAAGGGAGCGTGGTGCACAAATCTATCTCCACTGATGTGTTGTGAATAAAAAGACGCAGCGGAAGAAAGAGCGAGAAAGGTGCCACGAAGGAGGTGCGCGAATGGGCTTGAATTTCTATCTGCAGACTGCTATAATATCTGGACGTGGGTTCCAACACACCATACTCCTCCTCTGCGTCACATTCTCTCAACAACTGGATAGTGAGCAGCGCCAAAGCACATTTCCTAAGTTAGTCACGGTGGTCGTTGCCTTTCCCTGTAGCTCAGTGATCTCGACCACAAGCTGCCAGAAGTCGAGTTGCGGGTTCGAGTCCAAGGAGGGTTAGATGGAATGCGCACTGCTGACCATTCCCGAAAGGATGAAATGACCGCAAAGCCATTTTCCAGACGTGAGGTGTTTCAATTAAACAGGATAAGGAGGTCTTCCTAGATCGGTAAGACGTATCGGTAAGGCTCGAGCGAATCATTGGGCACGGTTGAAAAGTCCGCACAAATGCGAAAGGAATCATTGGCCACTCTTATAATGAAAATAATAATAATAATAATAATAATAATAATAATAATAATAACAATAATAATAATGTGTCAGCTGTATGCCGTAACGGCGCTTCGCTGCCGAGCGACCACCACCAGTCGCGCGCGGGCTGAGTATATCGCGAGGACGTCCACCCCTACGCGGACTGGTCACTCTTATAACATTCATTGGTGCGTCCCGGGATGAGTAATGTACCTGAAGGTTGATAACTAGGTTTTCAAAGCGTTAAATCGCATGACCTACAAAAAGTAAGGCTGCATGAGGCATCGGCCCTTTTGGGAGAAATAGCAGTCGCGAGTCGATTTTATCTGTAGTGTCACAGAAGCGCTGGAGCAACATCATCCACCATCATCAACACACATGATAGCTAGAGGTTAAAATCACCTCAGCTACTGTGTTGCAATACGTGGGGAAGGAAAAAAATGACACAAGAGAGGCACACTAGCTAAGCCACCGGTAACAAAGAACTAACAGCCAGCTATTTGCCGTAAAAATTTAATATTGTGTCCGAAATGAGAGGGGGACAGGAGGAACAAAGAAACTCAACACAAAAGCCACTGAGGTCCGCTCCTTGCCATATCAACGAGTGTATCCAATCAAACATGCTCATCGTCATTTGAACCCCAGCCCCACTGTCGAGAGGCACCAAGCAAGTTGGAAGTGAAGGACTTCGTTCCTTTTGAGCAAGTCATCACTTGGCCTCTCCTACTTCTTTCATCCAGACCCCAGGGGCGACAACAACGCAGGTCGCGGGAGTCGGTGTGCTACTATCCACAACACATGACAAAGCCATCGGAGCTCGGAGCGTGATATAACGGTGCTGAGGGGTTCACTCGCTACTTCTGCACTGAATACACGACACCAAACATGCTCATTGCTCACGCGGTGTCCCCCTAACAGACATGAGCCGAACAGCGAAAACATCGATGGTCCAACGTAACCAGCCTCTATACCCCTGTTGATGTGATGGGTCAAGTTTCGCAAACATGCAATACGGATGAACGGAGTGCTGCATTGCAAATTCTGCTCGTCTGGGGGAAAGCAATGTCACGACGGCGCACATAGTCAAAAGCGCCTCGAGCCCTTGCTATATGGTTGGTGATCTCATCTCCTATTCCATGGACGCTAATACGGCTGCCGAGATATCTGAATTTCTGGGCGACTCCTACCTGCTCACCACTTATGGTCAGGGCAGGCGTGCGTTGCTACTTATCTTTCAAGACCCCCAATTCTAGGGTGTTTAGCATCTCCCGAAAAGATCGACAGCCAGAGCTAATTTGTCAAGTGCTGTTTGGTACGTTTTGGAGCTGTCAAAAATGAGAACAATATCGTAGATGCACTCTAAGTCAATATGTCGATCATCATCATCATCGTCAAAAAATTACTTGATGCTCTGGCCACCGCAGAGGATAATCAACGGTGCCCTATCTGCTGCATCGAGCAGGGTGGATAGGGGTTTGGATGCTACTGATCAAGCCTTCCCGTCTTCTTACCCCCCTCTTACGCTTTTTCACTCATACCGTCCCGTTCCAACTTCACTTATATCCCCTTAGTTTTCAAACCCCCGATTCTTGACCCTCCCAAAACATGCTTTGCTAGGCGTTTATGCTCTAATTTCAACTCACAAGCTAACGCGGAGCTTCACTCCTCTCCTGTCGACAAGCCCATGTCCAACCAAGCGGTCCATTCCAGTTCACCGGCTTCAATTTGGAGCCCTCGATCCTCCTTCATATTGACATGTCTCAATGTACGCACATTACTACAGATCGGTCAACAGGCAGCACTTGCCCGAACATTAGAGACCCTCTCGATCCATACGTGCTGCTTATCAGAGACCCGCCTACAAGACTCGAGCTCTGTGCTCACTCTGCGATCCCCTTCAGGTGACGCAAGCAGTATTTTCTCATTACGCCTATCCGGTGACGATGCAGCTTCGAGCCCCGGCCAACTTGGTGTTGGCATTGCCCTGAGTTCCCGGGCTGAAGCTGCTCTGGTTGATTGGATTCTAATCAGTAGCCGGATGTGTGCGGTCCGATTGGCTGGCTCATTCAAAGCTTCGAAGTCGCGTGGGACTAACAGGCGTCTATTCATCATCGCTGCCTACGCGCTCACAAACTGTAGCGATGATTCGGTAAAGAACGACTTCTACCGCCAACTGACCCAGCTCCTTCGCCACAGTAGAAGCACGGACACTGTTGTGCTGGCGGGGGATCTGAATGCACAAGTTGGAAAGTTGTCCACTGATGAAATGCATCTGGGCGGTCAGCACGGTGTAGGCTCCCGTAATGATAACGGTGAGCGGTTACTTCATTTGTGTGAAGATGCTCGCTTATTTCTTGCGAGCACTAATTTCCGACACAGCACCCT